TTCTTTCTTTCTTTCTGCCTTCAGGTCAGTATTGACTCCTGGAATCCATTTGTACTACAGTTTTCTTAACAAGATTTCAAAAGTGGTTTGCCACTGCCTTCTTTCTAGGACTGAGAGGGAGTAATTGGCCCAAAATCATCTAGCTGGCTTTGTGCCTAAGGTACTACCAGAACTCACAGTCTCCTGGTTCCTACCCTGGTGTCTTAATCACTATGTACATCAAGCTGGCTCTCCTATGCTACCCAGAACATATAATATAGATGCTATTTTGCAAGCCGCAATACTGTTCCCTACATCCCACCAACTAGGAGAAATATGCATGATGCAGTTAGAATACCTCAAGTCTGATTTAGGGTAAGATCTCTGTGTGCTGTTCAATACATTAGGTAACAGTTGCTCTCCAAAGATTTTGTTCAGACCCAATTGAATTGCATCTGTTGTTTCAGTAGCAGTGAATGTTTTTATGGATATGATGGCTAGCCTGATGTCCATCCTTTCTTCCTTTCATTTGGGGTTAGGATCAGCAAGGAAAGATATACAGTAGTATTAAATCTTGTTTTAGTACTTGTACTGTTTGTAAAGAAGCAGTCACAGGTGTTCCTCATAAATACAGATAGATTGGCACTGAAAAATGTAAGAAATGCTACTCCAAGAGAACCACTGAGCGTAAAGAGAGATGAGGAGGCCTATCATTTATGGAAGAAGTATTACTTTATTATTTTATTTGTGAACTTTATACACTGCTGACTGTGCAACAGATCAGGAACTGCTTGTGTGCGAGCTAAAATGGAAGGGGAAAACTTATCGATTTCCACAATATGATTCTGAGAGAATATCCGCCATTTTCAAAGAGAATAGCAGGCGTTGCTTTGAAGTCCTGAACATTATTGAGATGTAACCTTGGGAACAGGAGAATGAAATCAAAGTTCTTAAGGATGAGCACAAAGTGAGACTGTCAAAGCCCAAGAAACGGAAGAAAACAAAAACTGATGTCAGAACAAATGGTGGTAATTGCCAAGAAGAGAAACCAAAGCAAAGAAGTTGGGGGATGACTCTGGAAGGAAATTAACAAAGGGTTTCAAAGAGTTGCTAGAGACAAGAGCTATATTAGGATAATGAAAATAGAAAAAGACATGGAAAAATAAAGTTTTCCAAAAGATCTTATAATTCAGAAGGAAGTTATAACCTAAATTGGCCTGCTAAAGGATGTAAACTGATAGATAGTAACTGATTCCAAGAAAATCAAATATACTGAAACATACTGAAATTATGCACAATACAAATATCAGATCCCAATATATATTAGATAGTATTTCCTATTTATAAGAACATCTAGTATGAAAAGAAGAAGTTACAGCAACACTCCAATAATTACCTATTCAGAAGGCTATGGAAACTGATGGAATACAAACAGAAGTACAGCAAACAGCAGAAAAGTATTTAGTGTAAGATCAAGATTCTATTATTCTATCCTATAGTAATAAAGAACCTGTGAGGTTCTTTGTGCTATCTGAGCTTGGTTGTTTTCTTACAAATGTTTCATTACCCAATTACCAGTAAGTAATATGCTATCACTACATGTTACCTTTCTGAGCTTGCAGATCATTTCATTGGAGATTCTCAGTCATCCAGGTCATGGTTGTCTCAAAGGTGCTTTTTCAAGAAGCAACTGGACTTTCTTTGTTTTTCTTTGAAGATGTTTCGCTTCTCATTGAAGAGCTGAAGAAGCTTCTTGGATGAGAAGTGAAACGTCTTCCAAGGAAAACCAGAAAAATCAGTTGCCTCTTGAAAAAGCACCTTTGGGATTTCATTCATTTGGTAATGAAACATCTGTAAGAAAACAACCAAGCTCAGAGAGCCACCCAAGACCTCACAATTTATCTTTGAATATATTCTCTTCTATTAATAAATAACATTATTGAAAAACCCCTTGCTTCTGTTTCTTGATCTGGCCTACCCTGAAAGACTAATAGATACCCAGAACAGACCATGGTATTCAAAGTGGGATCTAACCAATTCCTAATAGAGATGAATCATCACTGCCAATGCCTCTATGACCAAGTTCCTCTATATCAGGGGTGTCCAACCTTGGCAACTTTAAGACTTGTGGACTTCAATTCCCAGAATTCCTCAGCCAGCTTTGCTGGCTGAGGAATTCTGGGAGTTGAAGTCCACAAGTCTTAAAGTTGCCAAGGTTGGACACCCCTGCTCTATATCTACAAAACCAAGGAATACTCTACAATTCAGACCACATATTGATGAAGCTTCCATTACAAAGATAGAGACCAGGAGAGGTCTTGGAAGCGGAATGTCCTCAATAGATATTCATGAACTGCACAACTTTATAATGCCATTCATCACATTACATTTTCAAACAAATATAAATGTTCAAATAACAATTTTTGAAGCAGCCTTCTGAAGTCTTCGATAGAGTAGCACTTACCTCTCTCATATGCCGCTTGATATGTAAGTATACACATTGTCCTGTCTTGCGATAATGCCTTTCTACATGTTCCCTTCCAAATCCCAGGAAAGTATTCATGCAAACATAAAGGCCTCCTTCGGAATCCTGTAGAGAAGAACAGAAAATTATTTAGGGCATATTTGAGGCACCTGACAGAATTCTTCAGCACAGTGAGGGATATAAATTCCCCTTTAAAGAATCAAAGAATTGGGAGATACCTCAAATGTCTTCTAATTCAACTTCCAGCTATGTGCATAATCTGATAAATCACTTTGGACAGATGGCTATCCAGCCCCCATTTTAAAACTTTATAAAGAGGAAAATACTATTTCATAAGATAATCTAACTTACTGGTTGACAGCTTTGCCATTAGGAAGTTCCTCCTAATATATCACTTTTCTATAGTTTTAACACTGGTTCTAGTTCTGTCTTCTGGGGCAACAAAGAACTCTGTTCCTTCTTGTATATGACAATCCATTGACTGGTATAATACCTCCCCTTTGGTCTTCTCTTCTTTCCCACCTTTAACCATTCCTCTTCTTTGTGGTAGCCCCTCAGATATTGGAAGACTGCTATCATGTCCTCCATAGTCCTTCTTTTCACTAGACTAACCAAACCCAAATCCTCCAACCGTTCTTCATATGTTTTAGTCTCCAAGCCTTTAATCATCTTAGTTGCTTTTCTTTGCATTTTTTCCCCCAAATCTCAACATCTTTTTTCTAGTGTGGTGACCAAAACTGGATGCAAGTATTCCAGGTGTGGTCTTAGATACACACATACATATATACACCCTTCCACCTACACAGACACACAATCTGTATAGGCAAGGGTCTCCAACTTTTCTTGGACCAGCGGGTATAGATCATATTTTCGGAACACGTTGCAATTATTCAAAAGAAATAGAAGCTACGCACAGCGTTCCTGCTCACAAAGGACAATCACAGTGGAAACAGCCAATAACAAAAACCCTGTAAAAGGCATTTCCTTGCAAATTTTCCTTGCAACATATTTTTCTTGCAAATTTTCCTTGCAAATTTTCCTTGCAAATTTTCCTTGTGACACCCCCGCTCCTACTTTATGAACCTCGAGCATATTTGCCACAGAATAAGCTCAAACCAGAAATAGTATTTGCACTCTCATTCTTAATATTCGAATTTCTGAAGACTCGCTTTCTATTTGGGAACAAAGGAATAGTTGACTAATAGAATAATGGTGCTGTTAGACCAGGGGTGTCAAACTTGCATCATCATGGCAGCGTCACGTGACATATCGGGACTTTTTTCCCCTTCGCTAAACTGGGCAGGGGCGGGGCCAGCACGTCACGCATCTGGCCCGTGGGCCGCAAGTTTGACATCCCTGTGTTAGACAATCTGATTGAACATTATAAGTGATACATTTTATATGTTTATTGCACAGGATAACTCTGTATTATTTCCTTCTGAGCTACCTGGAGAATATGGGATACAATAAATTTCAAATAATAATAGCTCTGAAATGGCATCAAAGCACTTGTGATAATTAAATAAATGCAAGTGACACATAAATAATTCTGGAACAATTGTCTTTTTCCTCTTCCTAAGCAATCTGCTCCTAATAGCCACTAGCATTTTCCAGCAGATAATGTGGCTAAGAAAAACTGAGGGAAGGCTTAAAGAACATAAAAACATTGCAAGCCTTTTGGATTTAGACTGTCCTTGAATAATTTTGAACATCAAAGGCATGGGGGTTTTTTGTATGTAGATTTCTGTTCTTTGTTTCGTGCTATATTTTCTTTAAAATTATTGTTTGACTTGAGTATTTGTAAGACGTGAGACAACCAAAGACTTCAGAACAATTTATAAAGGAAACCCAAATATGCTTTTTTTCAAGAGGCAACTGGACTTTCTGTTTTTTTTTTTTCAAAGATGTTTCGTTTCTCATCCAAGAAGCTTGTTCAGCTCTTCCTTTATAAAGGAAAACAGCAAAGTCTGAACAACAGTACTTTCAAGCCACTCAAAAGCTGAAAACATGGCAAGAGAATCCCAAAGTTTGGTGAGGAGGTACGTGTGTCATAAATACATTTTTTTAAAAAAAGCTGAGCTATTCACAGTGATGTCTCTATCAAGGTTCCCATACTGGGGAACAGCACGTTAGAAAGCCTATATACAAGGAGCTACAGGTAATCGTTGATTTACAACCACAATAGAGCCCAAAATTTTTGTAGCCCCATGTAGAGTGCTTTACAGTAATCTAACATGCAAGGATATTGAAGCATTTAGATCACTGCAGGCGTTTTCTCAGATCCAAGAATGGCTACAGCTGTCCCATTTTATACAGCTGTCAAAAATACAGCTATTCCAAGCCAAAAATAGGCGCTCTTTGCCATGACAGTCACCTGGGCCTCCTCCCCATGCTGTCCATCTGCTCTTTTAAGACAACTACAGTTTAATCTAGAAGAAGATGATCCATTTCTCCGCTTGTTTATAGTATTCCACATTGATGGGTGTTCAGTGTCACAGTAGGAACACGGTTAAAGAAGGGTGCAATTAGGGACACGACAGGTACTCCTTGACCTACGGCCGCAATTGAGCCCAAAACTGAAGCCTAGGATTGAGTTTGGACAGCAACTGAGCTCTTCCTAGAATTGAGGATGTATAGGAAAGTTTCCATCCCAAAGTCAAAACCTATAGAGTAGTACTGGCTAAAATAAACTGTGGGTTGTTCTGTTCTCAAACCAAGGCAGCGTGATTAGTTGATGGTTCAGTGCAGCGCACAAAGTTAGATTGATTCAGTATGGCATGGCTAGTCTAGTGAAGAGAAGGACCAGGGGAGACCGGATAGCAGTCTTCCAATATTTGAGGGGCTGCCACAGAGCTATTTTCTAAAGCACCCGAAGGCCAGACAAGGAATAAATGGATGGAAACTGATCAAGGAGAGATTCAACCTGGAAATAAGGAGAAACTTTCTAACAGTGAGAACAATCAACCAATGGAACAGAAGTTGCCTTCGGAAGTTGTGGGAGCTTGAGACTTTCAAGAAGAGATTGGACTGCCATTTGTCAGAAATGGTGTAGGGTCCTACAAGTTCCCTTCCAACTCTGATTATCTGTTAAATCTGTTAAAGTAAACTCCTACTGTATTCAGCTAACCATGGGTTAGTAGGTGGTGTAATTTGAGCTTGCCGTTGACATTTGTTTGCAGAAAAGATAAGCACAGTTCAATTGCAACAAATGAAGCAAACCTCAACAAACCATTATTTTTGATTCAGGTTAATTAAATGGTTAAAAATACAATGCACCTCTCCATACAGAGACTCCCAGTTTAGGAGTCGTTGCAAAACAAGTACATCCTAATGCCCATTTTCTGCTTATGTAACAATATAGCCCTCAATCATCACAGATTTTAAGTATCTTGGAATGAAGCCTTAGCAAAGTTTTAGCTACGTAAGCTTTCGGTACAGAAGGATGTCCTTCAGCCAGTCGACCTTAAGCTTTTAAATCTATAACATTGTTTGGTAATATTTTTGGCCTTCCTAATCAGCCCAACTGCCTATTCAGAGAGACCTGCTGGGTGACACTTGAGATTTGAAGTGTGGGGGTTATAAATATAACCTACCAGTATCTTCCAGCCAGATGATAAACACCAGGCAGCTGAGTTGCCTTTGAATGCGTACAGAACTTTTCATGGACAAACAATCTTAAAAAGAGACGATCCAACCACTAAAAGCAGAGACTCCTTGAAATATATATTCTTAACAAGAGGAGTAAAGCAAAGTGTTGAAAGGAAGAAAAGTATTCCCCAACATTTCCCCTATTTCTGCCTTCATATTTGTCAGATTCCTCTGGATTTAAAAAAAAAACCACATATTTTATGGTCAACTTATGATCATAATTGAGCCCCAAATTTCTGCCACTAAACGAGGCATTTTTAAGTAAGCTTTGCCCCATTTTACAATCTTTCTTGCCACACTTGTTAAGTGAACCACTGAAGTTGTTCAATTAGTAACATGTTTTTTTAAGTAAATCTGGCTTCCCCATTAACTTTGATTTGTCAGAAGGTCACAGAAAAGGGTGTCAGCTTTGGAAGCCATATTGAGACCAGATGCTCCCACACTGCCACATTTTGAGCCTGGGAAAATGGAAGGATGGGGAATTTCTTGGAGTGTATGTAGTTAGACATAATAACATTCTTTTTCTAAGTCAACGGGGGTGATTGGGGCGTGTGATGTGATGATGGGTGCAGGGGATAGATTGGTAGTTTTTACTTATTGCAAGGAAGCCTGGAATTTTCAGGTTTGGGATTCCACAGTTGTGCCACTTTACTATCCAAATAGAAGGAACTTTTGAGAAGATGTCTGTCTTCAGAGTTATTGGTTGGAGTGGAGGTTTTCTGGAGCAATGGCAAAAGGATCATATGATCTGCAACCGTCATAAATATGAGCCAGTTGCCATGCATCCAAATTTTGCTCACATAATCTTGGGGATGCTGCAAATGTGTCGTAAATGTGAAAAATGGTCGTAGGTTACTTTTTTCAGTGCTGTTGCAACTTTGAACGGTCACTAAATGAACGGCTGTAAGTTGAGGACTACCTGTATATATTTAGTGACTTACTCATCTAAAATGTTGCCTTTTTGCCAGTGCTTCCAAACGGGTTTATAATTTAAAAACAGCTTACAAATATTTGCAATAATTTTCTTTCAAAGAGGGCACAGAGAAAAGGAACTCGGGAAGTAGAAGAAAATTTTAACACTTCAAAAATGAATTTTCCTTCTTTAAATATAAAGGAAGACGAGAACGTTAACTTAGCCAGGACAGAAAAGTTTATGTCTTAATAAATGTATTGATTTTAGGTGCCATAAGATTTTTATGTTGTCTTGGCTCCTAAAGGCAAAGTCATGCCCCTGGTGGAGACTGACTCTGAGGGAGAGGAGGAACAGCAGACAGGAAGTGGAAGGGTGGCTCTGGAGGTTTTGGAGGAGGCTGGGGAAGGGCAGAGGCGGCTGGGCAGTCAGAGGAGGACCCAGGCCCATCCCCTCTCCATCCTAGCCACACAGGGAGGAGAGGATAAGGGAGAGGTGTGAATGGCATGGTCTACGGGGGAGGAAAGGGCCTTGATCCTCTCCATCG